TCTGCTGAGCACTGCTTTGGGTATCAGTAACGCGAGTGCCTCCTTCACTGCACGGAGCAGCCTTTCCTCAGCAGATACTTCCCACTCTGCTGCCTTCAAGGGTGCGGAGTGGCTGGTCTAGCTGACCAAGAGCTGCGCAAAGGGCTTTTCCTGGCTTGGAGAGTCCTGTTGGCAGTTGACTCCAACGGTGTCCTTAGGGACTGGGTTTGGGCTGAGCAGCAGCCGGTTGCTATCTTTAAAGCTGTACGGCTTGAATGGGTTTGAGCCTAAACCATACGATAACATCAGAGGGAGGATATTCATGTCTGAAGCCGTTGAACGGCATCACGGCGTGTGGAGTGCTTTCAGCACTGCCAACAGGTTGGGCAACCACACTGTTAACTGAGCTTGCCACGTCCTGTACGGCGAGCGTTCGTACCAAAGCTCCGCTCTGCGGTGTCTGCTGCTGTGGCACTGCCTCCAGCTTCAAAGCACCTTGGCCACGCTTTGGCTTGGAACAAAGAGTTTGGGATTTCTGCTAGAACATGGCTCAACCTGCGTGTCACCTGCCATCGGGGATGTGCTGTTTAACAGCACCAGCAGTGCCCACAGCAGGCAGGAGGATGCTTATGGAGCCTTCTCTTTTAGAAGTCCACGCGTGAGGTCAGCCCAAGTGGCATTGTGTAGTGCCTCACCGCAGCAGAGAGGAGCCTCACCCTCCGTTTAAATTCTGAAAAGCACCTCAACCCTAAAAAGAGGGTGTAAAGAATGCAAGCACATCTTGCAGAGCTAAATCACTGCAACCATCCTTGGCAAGAGCCGAGGCTTTGGTTGCTGGATCCCTATAAGCAAAACCAAGACCAGAGTAGAGGAGAGCCTGCGTTTTAGGATATTTTGTGTGCTTAATGCCACATTCCCTTGTAGCCATGTGGGGGAAAGGTAAAATGCTGTAACTTCATCCTCCTGAGCGGACTCATTGCTGTTTGTGTACCATCAGCTGTTTTTTCTTTAAATACTCACTTTATGTAGACTCAAGGCAGCTATGAAGTGCTTTGCAGTTTCTTATTTTTTAAAAAATACCCTCCCTTACCCCAGTGGCCCTAGAGTGATAAAATGTATGTTTCCAAAAAGTCATATATATATATATATACACACACACACACATAATTTTAATCATTATCTTTTTCATTATCTTTTCTCTTCACGGTAACATCATTTCTGTAAGTATGGCAGGGCTGACCTACCATTGAACTTAACTTCTGAACCTAGTGTATTTGTTTTATACCATTACCCCAGGCAGAAATGGTTCTAATTTCAGGAGAGACTAATTAGAAAAATGCATCAATGGTTTTTTCCTCGGAAACTGGTGCACAGGCGCCATCCAGTGGCTCTGGTGAGAATTACTGCCCAGCTCTAGGAAACGGCTGGTTTTTGACTTTCAGGCTGCAATTATGAAAATACTGCAACTCGTCAGAGGCTTTGGTTTTGTTTTTTTTGTTTTTTTTTGTTTAATTCCCGTCTTTCTCTCCCTCACCCCTTTATTTTTTCTTACAGGTTGTCTGGCGAAAGCTGGGTGATGCTGCGAGCTCCAAACCCTCCATCAGGCAACATCTTTCGGGAAACCAGTTCAAGGGTCCCTTGTAGGAACACCATCCCGGAGCCTGGAAGTGGTTGATTCTGTGAAGACTAAAGAGGCAGAGCTCAAGCGTTTCTGGCTGCCTGTTCTTGGGGAGTTGGGGTTGAGGTTTTTTTCAGGGTTTCCTTTTTTCTTTTCTTTTCTTTTTTTTTTTGTAACGATAGTGTAAATATGGCAGCTAAAGGCCTGATTTCCAGGCTGTGGTGCTCTGGAACTACTGTTCAATGGGTAACCATCCAATAATGCCAGACTTGCATCATTTGTATTGTAGTTCAAACCTGCTTTGTTGTAATGGTCTGTTTGTAGAATTAACTAACCTGAGAGAATTTCTAAGAGGAACAAGAAGAACCTTTAACCTGCGGAGAAGTCACAGTTTGTATCGCTCCGGTCCACCCGCTTGTCAATGATTCATAGCTGGGTTAGTGGCTCCAGGCAGCCCCTGCCGAGGAAAGAGCAATTTGAATTCCTTGGCTTACTGCCTGCTACGCTCCTGAGCTGCTACCACTTTTTTGGGAGGTCCTAATTTGGAAAGAACGGCGTGCAGCTGTTTTCACCAGGCGCTGAGTACAATACTGCGTGGTGAGCTAAAAACCACTGGTATCACCACGCCGTACATCGTACGGTGGAACTCATCACGCAAGCGTACAGAAAGGCTTGAGACTCCGTATCAGCTGTTAACGAACTATTTTTCGTGAACAAATGACACAAGATTTCTGCAGTCGTAATGTGAATGAACTGAAGTGACTTAGCCACACACCAGTATTCCCTACAAATATGGCAACGCTTTTCCTGTAACGCTTTTACTACAAAATAATTCAGCAGAAACTGCCATCCTCACAGCGCTTATGGCTTTCACAGGATCTTCGAGAGCAGCTCATCTTTCACCTAAGGAAGATGGGGGTAGTTGGGGTTTTTTTTAACATTCTTGCTGGATCCCTCACCTACCCTGGTTCCTGTGTAAGGTAACCAACCAACAACCTTGCAGAGCTGAATAAAAACTCCATAAACACGGGCTGTCGGGTGAGACTACTTCCTGCCATTCAAGCTTTATTTTTGTTAATGAACCAAAACAAGTGGGTTTTTCTTCTTCTAACGGTTGTACATAAAACGATGGGACTTATATTTTGCTATTGTGGAGTAGCTGCTTGTATAGTTGTAAGAATTTGACCCCCGTCTTTTCCACGTTGTCACAGCAGCTGTCCCTGTATTTTATTAGGTGTTCTTTCCTAATAGTCCAAGGAAGCGGGGCTTGGTTATTGAAATAATTGGTGTAAAATTATTTTAAAGACAGACATGTGAAAAGATCAAAGCCTCCTCTTTGAAAGTTTTAGTGATTAGGTCGAAGATTTAATGGCCTCAAACACCATCACTTTCTTTTTGTTCTCTGTAAGAATCAGTCACAGCTACAGACAGGTGAATTAGCTGGACACGTTCTTCCTCTTAAATTAATGCGTTCTGCCTGTTGATTTCTTGACTTGTGGTATTTTATTAGCATGGAGCACCGATACAAAAACAAGGAGCCCATGCTGCAAGTTACGAAAGGTGCTCGTTCCCGTGGTGTACAATAATCTAGTTGCCCCGGGGAAAGAATTGGGACTGTCAGAGCCGAGATCTGTAACCAGTAAAAAAAAAAAACAGAGAAGGAATACAACCAAAATACATACTAACCAGTATGAGTAAGCTCCACTTCATTATTCATTGCAGAAATAAAAATGTAACAGTCAAGATAGGTAGGTTATTTGAAGAAAAAAAAAAAAAAAAAAGAAGAACACCCCCCAAATCACACGTGTACTCTCACTCACACCCTCAGAAGTAGTTTGTTTCTCACTGCTGCTCAGTGAGGGAAGGCTGAGCTAGCCAACTAATATTTACATCCAGTGTGTCTGGAAAAAGCCATTCTAGTCTGTCTCCTTTAAAATACGGCACCTTTAGAGGATTCCAGATTTGCTCCTCTTTGCTTTGTGTTTCGACCTCCAGTTTCTAGTCACCATTGATTACTTGTCTTCCTCCCGCACAATTTAGACCTTGAGCTTTTTCCTACCAGAAAAGGTGATGCAAAGCAGAGGCATCATTCTTCCTTAGCATCTAATGTCGAACAGAGGGTTACTTTAATCTATCTGCTTGAAAGCCCATTTTAATTTTGGTGGCATCTAATCGCTGGATTAAGCAGAGAATTTAAGCATATTGGGAATAAGGTTAATTTACGTCAGTGACTTTTAACTAAAGCAATGCAAATGTTGCCAGCACTTGTAGAGAGTTAATTGTGTTGGTGATGTGCTTGCTATTTTAGGAGTATATTAGACTAGCAGGTTGTCTCGACAAGGCATGAGCTATACTAATCAGATTACTGGTCTCACCAGCTATGTAACTCTGATTCAAATATTCCCTATCAAAATCTCAGTAGCTCTTCAATGACTTCAAGCAAAGCTTGTTTTGTTCCGCCCGCAGATCTCACCTACGAGGGGAACAGCGGCGCGACTGCGGTCCGTTAGCGCTGCAGAGCCCGCGGACAGGGTAGCCAGTAGTTCAGCTGAAGAGCCTTGATGCTCTTAGGGTATATCCTGTTTCTTTAAGATTCCATTTGGCAGCACAAATCTTCAACGCAACATGTGCATCATTGATTTTGCAGAAGAACATGACAGCGTTGTACGTTGGGGTATTATTTTGGGGAGGGTTTAGGCTTGCTACTCTTTATTCTTGGCTCCATTTGAGCTATAAAGTGTCTTCCTGGGGTAAAATGACGCTCAATGACTTTGCAGGATGACTTGGGTGCTGAATTTTCAGTTGTCTAAAAAGATGTTTTATATGCGTATTTAAATTCACTTACCTATGTGCTAAGTCTTCAGTGAAAACTACCTGAGGAGCTTTGTACATTAAGTTGGAGGGGAGCATCCCTTGAAATTGCTGCCAATTAAATTGATATATTTGGGGCAGTAGTCCAGGTTAGATTTCCTCAAGATTGAAGCCCTGAGTTCTGCAATCCTCTGGCAAAGAAAGCATCTGCTGTTTACAAATGGACTCTGCATGCTTAAGGAAAGTAAGATCACATCCTTGACTTTTGTTGGAGTGACTGAAGCGAACGGTGTTTCCAAAAAGGTTTCCGAAACGCTGTGGTGTAACCAGCTTCAGTTCATTCTCTGCACCTTGGTAAGACTGCTGAGCACAACCTTGTTTGAGAATGGCACATTTTTATCCAAATATTAGATATTAAAAGAAATCAGTGTTAAAGTGACCTTTTATCTTTTTAGAAACTGTGGGGGAAGAGTACTACTGATCTTTTTCAAAGTGCATGACTGTAAAGTGATAAAATTGTATATTTTTCATAATGTGGGGAAAGTCTATTTGTGCTGCTTTAGAAATCAGTTTAAAGTTTGATTTCTGTTAAACCTGTGATCTTAGAGCCCTGCTATATTTTCTGTATATGATTTACAAAAAACTGGAAAGTTAGCACCTGCTGTTGTGTATATAGCAAGATTCTTTAGACCTTAGCACGCGTTTTTACCTATTATTGAACCACTCTGGCTTTTTTCGGGAGGGAAAGTAATAGTACAGATTTTTTTGATAATGTGTGTAAAACATTCATTTGAAATATTTTAGTAAAAATGAAGTAAGAGATTTGATTGTGATAGTGTATACTTCTAGTTGAATAAAATAAAAAAAAAAACATTCTTTATAAATAAACTGATGAATAAGATTTGGGAGACCACTGCTGAAGTATCTTGCAGTAAGTACCATAGTTACGATTCTGAACTAATATGAAAAACCTAGAAATCCACTAAATTCAGAACCGATTTTATTTGGGTAGATGTGAACAAAGTAGTCGCATTTATAACCAGGATGTACATCACAGTAGGTTGTTACATTCAGACTTTCACACTTAGAAAATATATATATTATGTACAGGAATTTGCAAATAGGTGTAAACATACAATACTTTAAGATACCAGTACATTCCAAAACAAAAATATCAGCAAGGCAAACACCTCAAAATGATTCCAGTCAGCTAGCGTTCAGAATCTCTCTTAAATAAAGTAGCTTTTATGCTTCACATCGTGTTGTTTTAATTATTACTAAAACTGAAGTTTCTTACTATAGATCAAATTTCATGGTATCTGGCTATTTTGATACTCAAAAATAGGCACTGATTTCTAGAAGGAAATTTTCTTCTTACTGATAGACTTGAGCCAATATGGCTGGTTTTGCTAGTACAAAGTAATCCAGTGCTGGAGTAACTCAAGACAATTTAAACTTAAGTCAAATGTATAAAGTTAGAATAGATACTGCAAAGCTGATTAAAATCTAGAAGCCTATATAACTCACCATAAACAATACTGCAAACAGATCAGCTAAATTTTCATTTCACCGCCTCATTTCTTCATCTAAATTATACAATTTACCCTCCTCTTCATCTTTACAAAGTAGGTTTTGGCTAGCTACTCCTGCCTACTCAACATAAAGGGATATTGTGCAAATTACCTCATGCTATCTCATCCACGTAGCACGTCCAAGTCCTGCTACAGGTGGCATACCAGGTGGTGGGATTGGAGGTGGTACAGGTGGCTGTCCACCTGGGGGAACGGTAGGGGGGGGGTAACTAGCCGGTGGCATTCCCAGCCCTGGAGGTGGATGAGGTGGTACTGCATGAGTTGGCGGCAGTCTCGGAGGTGGGAAATTAGGGTTGTATGTAGGTGGAGGAGGATATCCAGGAGTAGGAGGTGGAATATTGGGCGGGGGGAATGAAGTAGGGGGTGGAGGTGGAACTGGTGGTGGAGGGTTGGGAGGATAGACATGAGGATGATACGGTAGATGAGTTGGTGGTCCATAGGCCGGTGGTAAAGCTCCGTAAGTTGGTCCTTCTGTTTTCATCATTGACTGAAGACTTTGATAACCCTCCCCTGACATATAAGAATTTGTAGTAGACATCCCTGTAATATAACTGGTGGGGGGTGGGGGTGGGGGACGATGCGGCAGAGGTGGAGGTTGATGTACCGGGGCAGGATGAGCAGGG